CGGAACTCTAAAAAAGGTTCAGAAGTAAGTCGTAAGCTAAAAAGAAAGTTAAAATTCACAGTTTCTCATGGGATACAAAAAAAAAACAAGTTTGTACTTACTGGTACACCGTATTAACTTTTCATAAACCCTGGTTCTTATCATAATGACTTCTTCGTCTATTAGGTCCCATAATATAGAGGCACATATCAAAGATGGGAATGTTGAAAACACATTACATATCATTCTTAAAAGCAACAGAGCATCGAGGCCCTGAAATAGACGGGTAAAATTACTTTTCTCTCGTTTTTCTGTTCAATTTGAATTTACAATAAACAATCACTTGCGCTTGTGTTGGCATATATATTGTTGGGTATTACAGATCAGGATTATCCAGGAAAAGACAAGAATATTCCGGTTGTGTAAGTAACTTATGAAAGCCCAAAACAATCTTCACAACTGACGCTTTTACATCCTTGATGATATTCCAAATACAGCTAAGTAGTAAGTTAAACGGTAATTCGGTGAACATTAGACCATCATGGTCTAATGTTCACCGAATTACCGTGTACCGTAACCGTTACTCTCAGTGTACTAGACAGTAACAAGAAGATGTTAGTTTGGATATTAAGTAAAAGCAAGCTTCAAGATGTAACAGTCTCTGGTTTGCAAATACAGCAAAGGAGCTTCTACCGACAAAGTAGATAAATGAGTATCTGTTAATTTGTACCAGTAGTAGTAATTAATAATCTTGTCAAATTTCACATCTTCCCAGTTTCAGTAAAACTTGACTATAAAAAGAAAACTTACGAAAACTTTGAAACCGCTATTTAGAATAAAATAAGCAACGGTAGATCTTGGTACTGCAATCACTATGAGAGTGAAAATCTGCCAATAAAAACAAAAAAGATTAATTTCTCCATTTGCAGAAGCAGAAAAACGATATACGCATGTAAATATAACTTAGAATACCGTGATCTTTAACGGAGGAGTAATGGTTTTTTTTTTTTTTTTTTTCTTTTTTTTTTTTTAATGGAAAGACAACACCCGCATTAGGAATAAATCCTGTGTCGCGGGGGACTTTACAAACATACATGAAACGGACACTATGAACACCCAGACTCAGAACAACAATTTGTGGATCACACAAAGTGTCGTCCCATGTGGGGTTTGAACCCACAACACTCGGCGTAGTAGGAAGCGGCGTGGCGACCGCTTAAACCACTACGCCATCCGTGCAGTCAAAGAATCCACCAAAGTTAGATACATTTCTATGTAATGCTTTACAGAATATTTTTGGACGTTAATATGGTTAAGTCCTTTAGTTTCAATGGTCCTCCTCACTATACTCAACCGTAAATATATTAAAGAAAATATCATTATGACACCTAATGGACCTACATCTCTTAATAAATATATCATGATGGAATAGTAGAAATGTAAGGACAAGCAATCGCCTTTTTGGTAACATGCTATACCGGAATAAAAAAGTCGGACCCAAATATTAAAAAGTAAAATACCAACTAGAAATCTGGAGAGCTTTTTATACATATCTGGTGCACATGGCAAAGTATCTATAATCCATATTCGTTGGTAAAATTGTAAAATATACTCATCATGTGTTCGCCAGGAAATGACAAGGTAAATAACATATTCAGCAAAATAACTCCAAAGCCACAAATTATTCTGATTATGATGGATTATGGTCAAAGATAATATAAGTATTAGTAAAATTATTCTATACACGTGAGACCAAAAACGAAGAATCGGTGAAGCGAAACTAATGTGGTAACCACAAATAAAACGTATCAGTAGAAAAAACTTTAAGTCGCACACTTGCGGGTGTGGAAATATTGCTATCATCTTCTATTGAAATTTATGTTTCGCTAATAACTTCATCGAGCTCTACAGCTCACAGTAGTTAACGGTGGAAAGAACCTTACTACCTACATTTGTAATTAAATCTAATATAATATTATGTTAACAGGTTGTGTCTAAGTAATTGAAAATTTCTAAGTATCGATTCATCATCATCGACAGGCTTTAGTAGTCAACTGCTGGTCATAGGCCTTTTGTTAGACTGGAGGTTATCGCTTATTATTGTTTATTCATTATTCACTCACAAAATTGAGTAGGCCTATAATATTTTAATGTTTGTCTAACTGATATCTGTTTTTGTCTAAACTCTTAATAATTTTCTCTTACTTTATACTCGTATATCAATCTCTAGTGCACCTATTCACACATTTCAGCACCATCCTAAGGTAGAAATAAATAAATTAACTAAAATTATCTTTGGAACTAGTAGACGTTATTAACATCGGCTTTAATAAAGCATTAGACATTTACAAGCAGCTTTCACACTTGCTTTATTCTGTATAAACCTACCGTTTCATATAACTTTATTCAATTAATCTTTCTTTGTTTTCATGAATTTAAATGTATCATCATCATCATCATCAACAGCCTTTAATAGTCCACTGCTGGACATAGGCCTCTCCTTAGAAAGGGGATTTAAATGTATACCAGGTACAATAAAGGCGATAATCCTGTGTCAGTTACACAGGGCCGTAACCTTGGTCCGGCACTCTTTGCTTTTTTTATTAACGATGGCTAGGCTTATAATTAAGATAAATGGCGACCCTGAAACTAGGAGTAGTAAATATTTTTTAAGAAAAGGAAAGACGAATGAAAAATAAATAATAATAAATCTTAGTGGCCAATTGGCTGTAATTTTTTCATCAAATATATTTATATTAAGTTACTAAAAGCATTGAGACTTAGGTTAGATAGCTGAATCATTTATTATCGCTGTTTTTTTTTTGAAAAAAGAAACTTATTTTTGCATAAAACTCGCCTTGTAACTATCTGTCGGTGGGTTGTGGAGGTAGTTAATGAGCGTTTCAAACGGGATTTTAGATTTTTGAGACATGTCAATATAAATCGTGCTCTTCCTCACATGTTTGAATGTTTTAAGATAGCGGCTGCTATAATTAATGCATACCATATACTAATAAATGACAATATTCATGCCCAAACCTTTTTGGCCATAATTAACCATAGATTGTCAATCCCTAACATGCTGGCTGATATAGTTGTAAGGCATAATTATAATAGAAGACGAGCACATTTTCAGCCGATGTACGCCGATATGCCCGAGTTCGATGATTTTCCAAGGCTCTCAGAAGAGGATTTAATATTATTTAGTTTGGGTATTTATCAAATAAAACAAGCTAAAAGCTATTACGGCGAGTACATCAATCCAAATGGTGTTTTTACGGTCGAGCTTGGCGACAGACTTTTAACAGAACACGTCAGAGAATTGGGAGAAAACATAATAATTATAAGAGGAAGAGTACAATCTCGGCTTGTTCGGGCCAGATATATTATGTTTACATTGGCATCGACACATCATTGAGTGACCGTGATGCCATACCGTATTATTATTGCTCATGCAATGTTGGCAAAAGAACGGTGGGCTGCTGTTCCCACACTATGTGCATAGTATGGTACATGACGTTCGCGAGGCATAAAAAACCTTCCATAAATCCACCTGCATTAGGTTTAGAAAATGTTATCATAAGACCTGCGGAATTATAACATATGAATAAAGCCACGTAGGTAACGAAATGAAGTCTTTTTCTTTACATATATTTTATTACACTAATACCTACACATAAATACCTACGTAGGTACTTAAGTACCTAATGATGATTGTATATAATTAGGCTTTTTGTCATATTATATTATTATTAAGCGAGATTAAGTTATTCTTTATCATCATTATTTGATTTTTGCTATAGTAATGAAGTAAAAATTGTTCAGGCGAACTCGTATAAATGCATATTTTTATTATTTCTAAGTCACATAACTCATAAGTAATCGGTCTTAGCTCTTAGCCGTCCATGGAAAAAAATCTTAGAATGTCATTCTCTAACCGATAAAACCATTTTTTTTTCGTTGGCCGGCACTTTTTTTTTTGGGTACTTTTTGCATGGAGCGTGAATGATGTCCTTTGTGATGCCTTCAATATCACATGGATACAAAATTTAAGCGCCGTAAATGTGGAGTTGGTTTACAAAACGTCTGATCAGATTTTTTTCACTTCGAAAAAATTTTGATTTTGATTTTGATTGTATTCATTATACAAAAACTATCCTTAATTTAAGCCTGTAATCATTTCATAATGATATTTGGTGATAATGACAATTGTAAGGATAGTATAAATGTATTGACGGCCGGATGGCGTAGTGATTTGTGTAACGGACTGTTATGCCAAAGGTCGCGGGTTCGACTCCCGCTCAAGTCAAACATTTGTGTTCATGAACACTTAATGTTTAATTTTGCCTGGATGTTTCTATGTATAATATATATATATTTACAAAAAAAGGTATGTATATGTATTTATATCAGTTTATATCAGTTTGACTGCACGGATGGCGTAGTGGTTTAAGCGGTTGCCACGCCGCTTACTGCTACGCTAAGTGCCGTGGATCAGATCCCCACATGGGACTACACTTCGTGTGATCCACAAAGTGTTGCGTCCGTTTCATGTGAGTCTGTAAAGTCCCCCGCGACACAGGATATACTTATACCTAATGCAGTAGTTGTCCCTTTTTTTTTTAAAGTTGTCTTGTACCCATAGGAAGAGCTCTGCTCAGTTTGGGGTTAGATGACGTTGTGTAAATGTGGTAGAATATTATATTATTATTATTATTACATTATATTGTATGTATGTTAAAGTTTTAATTTGGATTCAGATTTGAAATTGTACGTTGTTACTTGTTATTGTGCGAGACATGATCTATTTTCTGTAACTTTAACTATTAAGTAAAAATAAAAATAAATAATGATCAATTACATACTTTCGTCTAATTTAGGCCCCTATTGTTTTATATCAATAAAAACTACATTGTTTAATACCTTGAGATACTATTATACAATCCCAGGGATAGATTTGCCTACCTAAATAAATAAAACAAACGCTAGTTTCACAGTCAAATAAACAATTATTAATTTATTCATTTATATAAAAAAATAACTTGAACAAATGCTATAGTATTTATAACACAGAAAGAAAAAAAACTTAGAGATATTTTAACAGATAGTGGCATTGCGCGAAACAATCTGAAATTTAGAGGGCGTTGGTCAATCACATCAAGGATTAGCTGCAACTCAGACCGCATCCGCTCATCTGTAAAACATATCAACATTTTAATATGTAAATACTCGTATATCAGATATCATTTATATTATGTGAACTCTTATTAATGCAATCCGAAAAAAGATTATTGGTAACGCCAGCGTCCATTTAAATTAGATGGGTCGTAAACTAGTACTAAAAAAGTATACATAAAATATATAGTTTTTAAACAAGTAACAACTGTATGTATGTTGTAACAGTTATTTATCCAATATATTTGTATTACGTACGGAGTTGTCAACAGTGACACCTGTCGCCCCGCGTCGCACTTATTGATTTATCCGAAGTAGATTGTAACTATAGTATTGTTGTCTCTTCGTCCGCCATCGGACCACTAGATGGCTTGTTTTTTTCGGTATGTCGTAGTAATAATTTATCCTGTCAAATTGTATTGGTGTTAAATGTGTCCTGATATGGTATGAAGTTGGTTACCTTTGAATTGAGTCAAGTTAACCTCAATGATAATTTGAATTCGATTGAGCTCCCATTCATGACTAAATAAAGAAGGGATTCTTTCTAGAAGTTTCACAAACCGAGCATATATAAGTCCGGCTTCAGCCGCAAGGGACACTCAGGTGATTCTAGTCTTCCGATCTGAAGTAGCATATTGATTGTCTGTTTATTCATTTTTAGTAAGTTCTGTGTCCTAAGTACCCACTTCAGTGGTAAGTTAATCTTATTTTTCTTGTAGTCATTTGTTTTCTGCAGTCTGAACGATTATATGAGTGTTAATCCATTCGTAGGGCTCCAGATTTCGGGTCAAGACATACTTCTCAGACGGCGTGCTCTTTTGTTTGTGGCGTTCTTGTGCCTAATCGAGCTCCTCAGTACCATCTGATAAACAGGCAGTCACGCGGCTCACAAGCAAGCGGTCAGCCTCATACCAGGGTCACGTAATCTTTTTTAATTTCACTATTATAAATACCTAACCTACCTACCTACCTATTATAAATAGCCGACTCGGGCTGGTGTGGAAATAACCTGCAGGATTGCTGACGAAGAGGCTCCTAGCAACATCTGCTCGGCCTTGACGCGCGCCGCTGGGGGATCTTTTTTTGAAAAACCTACTATATATATATATATATATATTCAATTTTAAGTTTATAACTCTGTATTTGGAATGAAATATACATGTATCTATGACTGAGGTGTAAGTGGTGTTTTTCTGAAGAGTCCCTTAGGTTGCCCACACTCACACACATCTGTACTCCTCTGATTGTCGACAAGGCGCCCTGAGGTAAACCAAATCTCGTGAATATCTCCGCTGGGTAAGCCGGTGAGTAGACCGCCTGACAGGTTCAGCGGTTACAATGTAAGTTTTTTCATCATCATCAGCCTATCACAGTCCACTGCTGGACATAGGCCTCTCCCATTGCACGCCACTTAGATCGATTTTGGGTTTCTCGCATCCAGCTCCTGCCAGCCATCTTGCGCAAATCGTCACTCCACCTGGCCTGTGAGCGTCCTACACTACGTTTACCGAGACGCCGTCTCCACTCAAGAACTCGTTTTCCCCAAAGATTGTCGGTTCTGCGGCTAATATGGCCAGCCCACTGCCACTTCAGCTTGCTGATCCCGTAGGCTATGTCGGTGACCTTGGTTCTCTGCCGGATCACCTCATTTCTGATGCGATCCCTTAGGGAAACGCTGAGCATAGCCCTTTTCTTAGCACGTTGAGCGACTTTGAACTTGTGGACCAGCCGTACCGTAAGTGTCCAGGTTTCAGCTCCGTATGTCATGACGGGTAGGAGGCACTCATTAAAGACTTTCGTCTTAAGGCACTGTGGGATCGACGGTGAGAAGACTTCCCAAACGCTGCCCAACCCAACCGAATTCTTCTGTTCACCTCGTCCTCGAAGTTGTTTCTACCTAACTGCAATGTTTGCCCGAAGTACACATAATTTTGAACAACTTCGAGAACGGCACCGTGTACCGCAATCGGTTCCGGTAGTACATGTTCGTTGAACATGACCTTGGTTTTATCCAAGTTCATCCATAGGCTGATGCGTACAGAAGTGTCAGCTAGGTCATTCAGCATTTGCTGTAGGTCCTGCAACGTCTCTGCCATGATGACGATGTCGTCTGCAAATCGCAACTGAGAGATGTATTCGCCATTGATATTGATGCCACGCCCTTTCCAGTGCAGCGTCTTGAACATGTCCTCCATTGCATTTGTGAACAATTTCGGGGAAATAACGTCCCCTTGTCTCACTCCTCGATGCAATGGCACGGGCCTTGTTTGCTGATTCTGTACTTGGACGGACATGGTGGCGGCTTCGTAGAGACATCTCATCACTTGGATGTATCGCCAATCTACTTGGCAACGCTGCAGGGACCCTAGAACAGACCAGATCTCGATCGAGTCAAAGGCTTTCTCATAGTCCACGAATGCTAGACACAGGAGCTGATTATATTCTTCGGTCTTCTGTATAATCTGCCGCACTGTGTGGATGTGGTCTATGGTGCCATATCCGCTCCGAAACCCAGCTTGATCCGGTGGTTGGAATTCGTCGAGTCTTTGCGCAAGACGGTTCGTGATGAATCTCGAAAACAGCTTGTAGACGTGGCTTAGAAGGGATATGGGTCGATAGTTCTTCAACCTGGTCTTGTCATCCTTTTTGAAGAACAAGACGACCACACTCCTACTCCACGCTTCCGGAGTTCTCCCTTCAAACAGGACAGCGTTGAAGAGCTTTTGAAGCTCTCTTTAAGTTTGAAATTTTTTTTAGGATTTTGTATTTGGTACAAAAATTGCCGAGCAAGGACAATTTAAAAGTTAGTTGATGTCCTCTTTAAAGCGCATGATTGCCGCCTTTAGTTGCCGATGCATTCTCTCCACTAGTCTGTTAGTGGCTGGATGGTAAGCCGTGGTTGGACAATGTTTAGCACCAATAAAGCTTGCCATGGACAGTCTTCACATCCCCTTAATATTTTTTTAAATATCCAATGATATAATTCATAATAACCCTAAAAATATTATTTACTTGACGTGACTAATGTATAAAGTTACTGTTGTCTAAAGTATATTTAAACGGACACGTAGAAACGATAAGGGTTCCTTCTACGGAATACGGAATATAGGAATACGGGACTCTAAAAAAGGTTCAGAAGTAAGTCGTAAGCTAAAAAGAAAGTTAAAATTCACAGTTTCTCATGGGATACAAAAAAAATCAAGTTTGTACTTACTGGTACACCGTATTAACTTTTCATAAACCCTGGTTCTTATTATAATGACTTCTTCATCTATTAGGTCCCATAATATAGAGGCACATATCAAAGATGGGAAGTTTGAATACAGATTACATATCATTCTTAAAAGCAACAGCGCATCGAGACCCTGAAATAGACAGGACATTTTGAATTTACAATAAACAATCACTTGTGGTCGTGTGTGTTTATAAACTATTAGTTCTTGCAGATAAGGATTATCCGGGAAAAGACTAGAATATTCCGGTTGTATAAGTAACTTATGAAAGCCTTATGAAAGCTTTGACATCCTTGATGATCTTTCAAGTACAGCTAATCCGTCGATTCCACCATAAACGACCCAATAGTGGTACACATTTTTCACAAACCGTTCCAAATTTTTGCAAAAATTTTAAGTTAAACGGTAATTTGGTGAACATTAGACAATGATACTCTCAGTGTACTAGACAGTAACGAGAAGATGTTAGTTTGGATATTAAGTAAAAGCAAGCTTCAAGATGTAACAGTCTCTGGTTTGCAAATATAGTAAGGAAGCTTCTACCGACAAAGTAGAGAAATGAGTATCTGTTAATTTGTACTAGAAGTAGTAATTAATAATCTTGTCATATTTCACATCTTCCCAGTTTCGGTAAAATTTGTCTATAAAAAGAAAACTTACGAAAACTTTGAAACCACTATTTAAAATAAAATATCCAACGGCAGATCTCGGTACTGCAATCACTAAGAGGGTGAAAATCTGCAAATAAAAATGAAAAAGATTAATTTCTCCATTTGGGGAAGCAGAAAAATAATATACGTATGTAAATATAACTTAGAGTACCGTGATCTTTAACGGAGGAGTAATGGTGTTCAAAGAATCCACCAAAGTTACATACATTTCTATGTAATTCTTTGCTGAATATTTTTGGACGTTAATATGGTTAAGTCCTTTAGTTTCAATGGTCCTCCTCACTATACTCAACCGTAAATATATTAAAGAAAATATCATTATGACACCTAATGGACCTACATCTCTTAATAAATATATCATGGTGGAATAGTTGAAATGTAAGGACAAGCAATCGTCACGTTGGTAACATGCTATAACGGAATAACAAAGTCGGATCCAAATATTAAAAAGTAAAATACCAACTAGAAATCTGGAGAGTTTTTTATACATATCTGTTGCACATGGCAAAGTATCTATAATCCATATTCGTTGGTAAAATTGTAAAATATACTCATCATGTGTTCGCCAGGAAATGACAAGGTAAATGACATATTCAGCAAAATAACTCCAAAGCCACAAATTATTCTGTTCATGATTGATTATGGTCAAAGATAATATAAGTATTAGTAAAGTTATTCTATACACGTGAGATAAAAAACGAAGAATCGGTGAAGCGACACTAATGTGGTAACCACAAACAAAACGTATCAGTAGCAAAAACTTTAAGTCGCAAACTTGCGGGTATGGAAATATTATTATCATCTTTTCTCAATAATTTTTTCGAGCTCTACAGCTCACAGTAGTTAACGGTTAAAGAGCCTTGCTGTAATACATTTATAATTAATGTTATTAGGGATTCGTTTTAGAATCCTGAAACTCATTGAATAAAACCAACATTTATACAGCAGGAAAACTTTTATAGTTACATTTTAGATAGAATATTTTAATTTATAGTTAAAATAATCAAGAAGATACGAATTCGACTGACCACAAAACTAGAAAGATTAACTACAACTTTTTTTTTTTAGAAAAATAAAGATTTGTAATACTAAATCTTAGTGACTGATCACATGTGTTTTTTATCAAAGGCGTTACTAATATATGAAAATAAATATTTTTCCTGGGCGAAAGGCGCTGACGACTGTAACACAATTTATATTAGTACGGTCATCAACGGCAATCTTTTATCTAATGTGTCACTTATTTATGTAGTATCAGTAGAAGAGAAATTTGTAAATCTATTCTTTGAATAAATATTGTATTATTATTACTAGAAGCTTGATAAATGAGACCAGGTTATCAAAGCTGTTTAACTATTTTATCACCGCTGTTAAGATGACAGCTGCTGTTTACTTATTGTAAGAGTTTTACTCTGTTTATTTTAATTACCAATTTATAAGCTTTATAAAATTAATAATAATTATCTTCTTTATGGGATTTCTTGTTACCAATAACATTGAAATATTTATGTTTCACATATTTTTATAAGATGTTTATGATGCCCCACTTATAGGTTTTAGAGAGAAAAAAATTGAGTCATAAAATAACAACACACATCATATCAACAGCCTTTAACAGTCCACAGCTGGACATAGGCGGCTTCTTAGAAAGTCCATTTTAATTTTTATAACATGTATATACACTGTTACTCCATCAATTAAAACGAATCAAATGAAACTGTCATTTGATTATATTAAGCCAATAATTGGTATAATTCGTAATTCTTAAGCCAAAATCCAATAATCTGTTTAGGATACAGACACGCACTTGTAGTAAAACATGTGCAGTTTGGTAAGAACTAACAACCTGTTAATTTTTACATTAGGAGTTTAAACGTTATCCATTTTAGTAAAATTTATTTCGTCGTTATTGCTGTATCTAATATAATGTTATGTTAATAGGTTGTGGTTAAATAATTGAAATTTTTGAAGTATCCCTTCATCATCATCGACAGCCTATAGTAGTCCACTGCTGGACATAGGCCTCTCCTGAGACAGGAGGTTATCGCTTATTATTGTTTATTCATATTCACTCACAAAATTGAGTAGGCCTATAATATTTTAATGTTTGTCTAACTGACATCTGTTTCTGTCTAAACTCTTAATAATTTTCTCTTACTTTGCATATTAATCTCTAGTGCACCTAGTCACACATTTCAGCACCAAAGGGATTTCTGTCTCATGATCATCATCAACAGCCTTTACTAGTCTACTGCTGGACATAGGCCTCTCCTTAGAAAGGAGGTTTGACTGTCTGATTTCTGTCTAAATTCTCATTAATTTGACCCTGAAACTAGGAGTAGTGAGTATTTTTGAACAAAAGGAAAGACGAATGAAAAATAAATAATAATAAATCTTAGTGGCCAATTGGCTGCAATTTTTTTATCATATATATTTATATTAAGTTACCAAAATCATTGAGACTTAGGTTTGATAGTTGAATCAGTTATCATCGCTGTATAATTTTTCTGTAAAAAAACTTACTTAACATTATGGAGTTTGAACGTTATCATATTGGGGTTAAGTAATTGAATATTTCCGTGTTCTATCACTAATTATTCATTCATATTTATTCACACAGTTGAACATTGTACTTGGGGAATCGATTGTCGAAGATTATTAGCTACTTTAGGTTGAATACATATTCGAGTTAACGTTAATTGCAACTCAACACTTCCAAAGAATAATTATAGAATTCTTTTTGAGAAACAGAACCGTAAAAAACATAAATGCAACCGAATATAGAGTGACCTTTGAATAATCGGTAAACAACAATAACATTAATTAATTTAATTTAAAAAAGCACTCTGCATAGCCGACATGATTGTTAAGAGTTATGTGTTCTACAAGATTATCAAATTTGGAGTCAGTGGCAGTTGAACTGATATTCCACGGCCGGATGGCGTAGTGGTTAGTGTAAAGGACTGTTTGGGTTCGATTTCTGCTCAAGTGTAACATTTCTGTGCATATATATATATATTTAATATCCGTCCATAAATAATAGAATTATAAATGAACATGAACAAAGTAAATACATACGGTCGATCTCCTCTTTTTTGAATTCGCTTAAAACAAAAAGTAATCCTTGCATTTATGCAGACACTTTAACAAACAAAAGATCTTTGTTTTTTAAGATCTTTGTTTTTTAGTCTTTAGATACCATTTCCTTTTAAATTAACTTTGAATCTGTGAACAAAACAAGTTTTCATAACAAAGCTCTCTGTTGTTTACATGCAGCTTTTACATTAAGGAGTTTAAATACATGTTAATTCAGTGAAAGGCAATGCATTTACTTTTACTCGCGTTTATGTTTATTTTTAATAATATATAGAACAATGGACGTTTTAAAAATGAACTGTTATAGATTTAGAAGATACACAGGATTTACAACAATAAACAATCACTTTTGTTCCTGGATTACAGAAGAGTAAGGAAGAGTAGTGTAAGGCGCCCTGCGGCGCAATAGACCCATGAGTTGAGGAGAGTCGCTGGCAGCGTATGGATGTGGATTGCGCAAGACCTGGATACTTGGCGCTCCTTGGCCTTCGTTCAGCAGTGGACGGCAATAGTCTGATGATGATGAACGCTTATTATCGTAAACAAACCACGTAAAGGGAATATAATACATAATTTAAACGTGAGACATTTTTCTCATACAAATGAATCCGGGTATTTATTTGAATTAATGTTTATTTCTTCCTACTTTTTCCTAAGCATATAGAACTTTGCACTTACCTTCTCTGCTATTCTCTTTTTATTTTTAAGGTTACCTGTAAGAAAACTCAGATATCATGCTACATATATGTTTATAATTTTAGCTTGTTTAAATAATACCAGACCTAACATTATCATACTCTTACATTATCTAATCAATTGACCTTTAAAAGACCACTGTTGGACGTGAAGGTCTCTCAATAACTTCCGCGTCTTTACTATATTGGCACAATACACCACTATACATTACATTTGGGTACATATTAGAATATCGATGATTAAAATACTTATCGGTAAAATGTCGATGTTAAAAAACTTATTGGTTGTTTAAAATGGCTTAAAAACCCACGTCTAATATGTCTAAAACCCAATCATCTACAAAAATAACTACGAAAGACCTTGAGGAATAGAGAGGATCTGGCGCTCGGTGAATATTATCTTGCGTGACAAGGTAATACGATGAAATAATCTATGTACTACTTTAAGCTAACAGTTGTCATTACCACAAACAGCCTTTAATAGGTCACTGCTGGATATATGCCTCTTCTTACAAAATAGGTTTTGGCATACATTACCACGCTGGCCAGATGGGTTGGTATAGGGAATGTAGGGGTGCTAGGCTAGAAAACCTCCCCGTGGTGCACCCTGGAAACGCTGGCGATGGTACTGTTTCCTCCTTGTCCACTTGGAGGAGAGGATAATCGCCAGCGGCTAATATTCTAGCAGAAGAGGTAGCCGTTCATCGGCTCTCGGGCAAGGCTTGGTCCAGCAGGGTGGGCGTGTCTGCCGGTTGCCCTGCTGGCTCTTCGCTCTTCGGAGCATGGAGGAGGAAACCTCGGTAAAAAACCGGATGGCGGGGCCCTGTAGGGGCCACAGTTTCTCCGCTGACAGCGGTGGAGAAAGGAGGACGGGCTCGGCTTGTACTGACACTACCACCGAGCAGGCAGGGGGACGTAGTCTCCCTGTCAACCGTCGGCATATCGTAATCCCGAGAAGAGCGCTGTGGTTAAGTCTCGCGGCTCTGATCGGGGGCGAGGGTCTTGGCTTAACCGCCCGGACCGCGAGGAAGATAACCTCTCTAAAAAATTCCCCGAATCCCGTGTTCTGGTGCGTGGCCAGTGGATGCATGGCTGATGGGAAGTTCAGTCTCGAGCGCACTCCAAGCCGAGGTACCTGCGGACCCCTCGGTTGGGTTAAAAACTTACGCTTGCCCGGGTAATGGGGGATCTCTGCCCGGGTGGACCTCTAGTTCTCCCCCACTCGTGGGATTTAATATGGATACTATTCAAAACCTAAAACAACAACAAAAAACGATCGGAAATAACCAACAACAGAAGGCAAGCCTAACGGAAACGAAGAAAACGAAGGGAAGGAAGGAAAAGCAGAACAGTGGAGTGGATGGGTCGTCCACTGAGGGCGAGATGGTGTCGGGAACGCCTATCTCGATGGGGCTCC